ACTATGATAAAATATAAAATATACAACCTCAAGATACCAATATGCACATTTATCACAGATAGACAACGAACACGCAATGTACAACACTCAATACTGCTTAGATTATAATAGTTTAGGTGTCACCATTGAAAGTAACCATGGCGGTGGGCTAAGGAAGGTTCATATACAAAAGCAAGCGAGAACGCACGCACATACGCACATACCCAAACACACAGACCAGGCACGCACATTGTCAAAGTGGCGTCAGAACACCCGTTTCCATATAAAAGTATAAACTTAGGGAATGCCACATAGAAACAAAAGCCACTCCACAACGCAATGTAAGTGCACAACATCAAACAGGTAAAATAAAAGATTCCTTTATCCCACGCAACTGGCAAATGGGAGCGGATGACTATATCGAGAGGATGTGAGGTATATATGAGATAAGACAAGCAAAGAATGAGTGAAAAAATAAATCTACACAAGAAAATTGAAATCTTGTAGAGTAACGGGTGGTGTGAGAGTCAGTTATCCTATTAACTGATGTGAGAGACGAAGATAACAAAGTGGGGGAAATTGCGTTACAATCTGTGCCTAACACACAGTCCTTCTCTGGCTGCGGATCGCACCTCCTTCTCCGGAAAGCCAAACCAAGAAAAGTCTGATGCACGAGAGACAGGGTTACGCACATGCTCACGCTGCAGCTCAGCTACACCAGAACATCAAGTACATTGTGGGGTCACACGGCGAGGCAGCCGGGCGCGCGACTCGGCCCGACCTGTGGGCGGTTCGGGCGGCTTTGCCCTGGCGGTTTGGAAGCGTAGTGGGAGTGACTAGTAAAGGCCGCAGGCTGCTGTTAGACTGCTGCTGCGGTCACTCTATGACGTGGGGCTCAGCCCAGCCACTGATTCTAGAAAACTAACACGACTGTTACCCTCAAGCACAGCCACATTCTGTGACGATGACGTCAGCCCAGTACGTGGTGGCCAGTTTGTTATCCTCAGTGAGGTGGAGAATATGCAATCCGTGCAGAGCGGTGGGGGCGCAGCAAGGCCCCGGGATTTTCTTTTTGTGTTTCAGTTTTAGAAGAGATTGTAAGAGTGCATGCTCGTTGGCTGGATTGAAGCGTGCAGGGCAATTGCCGCTGCAGTAGAAGGCGTCAAACTCCTCCGGAGATTCGACGAAGTCAAAGTCAGGAAGATCTTTGAAGCGAACCTTCATGGAGCGTCTGCAGCATCGAGAGTGACGTCTTCCTTTCCGCTTCTTCTCGGAGCAGTCGCTGCGCCGCCGCCACTTCGGCTTGGTGGCCCGCGTCAGCTCGCGCGACCGCTTCACCCTCCGGCCGGCGGGCAGCTGCGTCTGCACGTCGAGCGTGGGCACGTATGTGGTGTTCGAGGTGTTGGTGCCTGTATGGATAGTGACGCCCGCGGCACTGCAGTCCTGGCACTGCACAAGAACGTCAGCATCGCCGCGGGGCGACGCTATCCACCCTCGCACAGCCTCCGTCAGATCCATGGTCAGCCACTCGTCGCCGGTCACGGAGACGTTGAGCGAGTGCAGCAGCACGGGCTGTTTGCGGCGGCGGCGGCGACGCCCGTTGCCGTCCATGCGGTAGACGCTGACGGTGACGGAGTCGTAGGCCGGGTCCTGGGGCTCAGGCCCGCCCGTCTTCCACAGGCGACACGTGGCGTGGATGACGTCCAGGTCGTGGGCGTAGACGCGCCGCACGGGAACTGCCACGTGGAAGTGCACGACCTGACCCTCGACCTCCGTGCTGCGTCGGCCTCGCCCTGAAACACAAGAACTCGATCAGCGATGATTCGGAACAGCGCGAGCGAACTCAGCATCTGCTCACATTAGCCATTCATATATACATACATACATACATACATACATACATATATATATATATATATATATATATATATATATATATATATATATATATATATATATATATATATATATATATATATATATATATATATATATAATATATATATATATTATATATATATATATATATATATATATATATATATATATATATATATATATATATATATATATATATATATATATATATATATATATATATTATATATATATATATATTATATATATTATATATATATATATATATATATATATATACAATATACACACACACACGCACACATATATATATATATATATATACTACATTACACAAAACAAACACACACACATACATATAGATGTATATGAATGGAAAGACACTACCATGTTGATACGCAAGGGTAAAAAAATCCACACTTTAGGTACTAGATCTATCAAGTAAATAAGACAACAATTTCTAAGTCCTTTTGGTTCCCATCTTCAGGTCAGGAGAGGAAGTGTTCAGTTCAGTTCAGTGAGATTTGCGAAATTGAGCTTCGCCCGGGAGAGGAGGACGTATGGAAGGGAGGAAGGTGAGGCAGCGGGGCAGGCGAGGGCAGGCGAGAGGAAGCGAGAGGAAGCGAAGGTCAGGATCAGGCGG